TGCTGAGAAGTATTCCATTGTATGGGTAGACTGCAGTGTGTTTAACCATTCACCTGCTGAGGAATATTTGGGTTGCTTTTGTTTATTATGAGTAAAGCCATCATAAACATTCTTATATTGGTCTTTGGCTGATATAAGTTTTCATAGCTTTGAGATAAGTACTTGAGAGGGCAGTTATTAGATTATATGGTACTTGTATCTTTAGTTTTAGAACAATTTGGCAAATTTAAAAAGAGTGCCTCCGACTACTAGCGAGAGGTGGGACTCCTTTGGATTGGGGTTGGTCTGGTCATTATTCTGCCAGCAACCATCTATGGGACAATGGACAATTCATTCAGCCTCTCTGTGCCTGCTTTTTCTTTTCTGGTACTTAACAAAAATAGTGCCTTCCCCACAAACTCCACAGGCAGTTATGAAAATACATTTATGTGAAAGTTCGTTAAGTGAAACATAAACATATGACATTATTATTTCATTGCAGACCAAATATGCCCTTAAAAACTAGCACAATTCATCTCTCTCTCCGACTCCTTCACCTTACTTAATTCCTTCGATTTTCCGGTTCCCCTCTTCACCTTTTTGAGTTGTGTCTCAAATTGCAGCATGGATGGCTCTAACAGAGGTGCTCTTTTGTCTTGAACACTGCTTTTCTAGTCTAGATTATTAAGCTTTCTCTCCTCTCCTAAATCTGCCCTATAGGAAACTGACCTTGTTTATTCACCCTATGTTCTTGAGACTTCTTAGATGTCTTTATGTCTAAAAAACACAAGCCCCAGACAAAGGACTACTGTCCAAAGTACTATTTAGCTGAACCCACTAAAAAATACAAGCTTTAATTTGTCTTAAAGAATAGATAAATATCTGTTTAAGCTCCATAATGAAATATGCATAGATTCACTTGACTCACAGTTCCACTGAAAATTGTGTATGTACATATGTATGAAATAGGTTGAAGGGGGGCTATTTTTTTAAGTACCATAAATTTGTCTATATTTTTGCAGAGAACAGTAGGATATTCTTTACAGTTTGCTATTATGGTCATTATTACTTTTAATTTTTAACTATGTGGTTAATCACTAAAGGGATTGGGTTCACAGGTGTATGTCAAAAATTGAGAATTAAAGAATTAATCCTTTGGGGAACATTTTAAGGGAAAAAAAAACTAGTGACCACAAAATCTTTAAGTATGAAAACAGTTAGGATTTCTAACAGTGGACTAAATAGAGACCCTGGAATACTTGCAAGTTTTCTTAATTTGATTGCTTTTTTGCTATTTATATTTGATTCTCCCCACCCCTGTAACCTCATTAAGAAATAGGGTGATGTGTGTATCAGAAAAAGAGAGAAAAAAATGTATTTCCATGATTTGAGGAGGCACTAGGAAGAATGTCTTGAGGAAAATACCTTTCAAAAGTCTGCCACATAATCCTGAAATCTACCATTAGAGACATTACTTTGTAAGCACTAGTTCTCTGGGAGGGAGAGATATTCAGCTGCTGCCAGTTGAGAACACAGAAACAAGGCCACTATAGGGTGTACTGCAAAGCACAGGCTATCCAACCAAATGGAGGTACGGTTGAATTTGGCTGTGGCACTGACTAGCCATGGGATCCTGGGCAAATTACTTTTCTCTTAGTCCCAATTTATTCATCTTTAAAATGGGTTTAATAATGGCTATCGCATGAGAAGTACAATTTAAATGAGTGCATGCTCTCTCTCCATATATATGTATTGAGGAACTTAATACAATAGGTTCCCAGTACATTGCAATGATAATTATTAGCAATGATAGAAATACTTAATTCAAAATGAGATTTCCATAGCTTTAGGGGTACATGAAGACATCCCAAGAGCTATGCAGACTCAGAATCAATTTCCAAATTCTCACTCTATATATATTTCTATATTTGTTTGCTCAAAAGTACACCTGAATCAAGCTGCTTCTCCTTATCCACCATTTCTTTTATAGCTCTTTTTCTTCTGTCCTGCAAACAAAGTGACAAATTTTTCATCCAACTCAGATTATAGTGTAGTACCTTGATTGCCCTGGGTATAGAAACCTCTGGAACACCAAGCAGAGGAAGGTCAAACTATGGGTATTTGAGAGAGAGAGAGAGAAAGACTCTCAAAGGAAATACTCTCTGTCAAAGGAAATACTACGAGTATTTTCCTTTAATCAAACCGGCATAAACCAAAGGTGCAGGGCATCGTCTCTTCCCCTGTCTTATGCTTATCTCTCTTAGGGACAAAGCATACCTGAGCAGGTATGCTCACCTGGGTGGGGTGTTTGGACGTCAGGAGTATCATGGAATTAGGCAGAAATGATGGCATTTCCCACCCCCATCTTCACTACTGACAAAGAAGGCATTGTTCCTGAGGGAAGAGACGCTTGAGAATAAATCAGGCTGGGTGCGGTGGCTCACGCCTGTAATCCCAGCACTTTGGGAGGCCAAGGCAGGCGTATCACTTGAGGTCAGGAGTTCAAGATCAGCCTGGCCAACATGGTGAAACCCCATCTCTACTAAAAATACAAAAATTACCTGGGCATGGTGGTGGGCACCAGTAATCCCAGCTACTTGGGAGGCTGAAGTAGGAGAATCGCTTGAACCTGAGAGGTGGAGGTGGAGTTTGCAGTGAGCTGAGATTGCGCCATTGTACTCCAGCCTGGGTTTCAGAGTCTCGCTCTTCGTGAGACTACCTCTCAAAAAGAAAAAAAAGAAAGACAATAAAACAAAGAGAACATCTCTTAGAAATATTGAAGATGGCATTAAGTTATTCATCCAGACGGCAAACTCATGAGAGGTCTCTTTCTATCTTGAAATAGTCAAGATTTGTAAGAAGTTGTACTGGGAAACGCCAATGAACTATGAACCACACTTTCTCTGGAATTTCACCATCTCAGTAATGAAAACAAGTTCAGTGAATACTCTCATTTATCTGCATTTTGCTCTATGTCTCAGTAGTTTAATTTGCATAATTTCAAGGTGAAAAGACCTACAATTTCTTCCAACAAATCAATGCTATATTTTCTAATAAAAGAAACATATTAGAGGTAAGTTAGTATTTTATATTTTATTAAATTTTTACTCAGATTCATAGGAGAAACACTTCCATTAATTTTTGCTAAAAGTTAGCAAAATATGAAATCTATATTTTTTATGAAGGTACAAGTCTTCTGCTCACTATCACTCATGAACCACTTTTCTGTTCATGTATTATTCCTGCCACATAGTTATTAGGTATACAAGTCAGCTTAGATTACCATAACAAAATACCATGCAGCACGTGGCTTAAACAACAGACATTTATTTTCTCATAACTCTGGAGGCTAGAAATCCAAGATTAGGGTGTCAGCATGGTCAAGTTCTGGTGTGGGCTGTCTTCCTGGCTGGCAGTTGGCTGCCTTCCTGTTATATTCTTACATGTGGGGTAGGGGGGGGAGAGAGAGAGAGAGAGAGAGAGAGAGTGAGAGAGCGAGCGCACGGGTGAGAGTGTCTGGTGTCTCATCCTCTTCTTTACAGGGCACCAGTCCTATTGAAGTAGGACCCCAACCTGTGTCCTCATTTAACCTTTATCACCTCTTCACAGGCACTATTTTCAAATATAGTCACATTGAGGGTTAAGCCTTTGAAATATAAATTTTGAGGGGACAAAGCTCAGTCCACAGAATTAGCGTTAAGTAGTTTAACAGGAATATGTTGCAGATTATACTCTAACTAATGTGCTTAACAGTCCTTAATGTGCTTTCCATAATCTTGTTCTGTACTAATTGGTGTCTAAGTTCTTTCTCTTGCTGTCAACTTGCATAAAATATTTAAACTATTCTGTCAAAAGCAGAAATCTATTGGTTCAAAAGCAAATAAATTTTTTTCCCAAAATGTAAATCTAATATGCAATGATCTGAACTTTAGAAAACTGGCTTGATTTAATTAGAATTAATGTATCCCTTTCAGATGTTAATATACTGATTTCACTTCTTTTAAGTGCATTTTCAGTCATATTTGGGAAGAAATTATTAATATATACATGAATATCCCCAAGTGTCTGTCCTTCTGTCATTTCTTTACTCTGCATTTGCAGATATCCTTAAAAAATAAAATTTGGCATTATATATAGGTCTCTGTTCACAGTCAAGGAGAAAAGTCCCCAAATGCACAATTTACAATTTTATGTTTTTGTTTCTAACTCCAGTTTCACCTATTTTAGCTCCATAAGCAAGATACCTGTAAGTAAAAGGCTGGCAGTAAAGTCAACAGCCATGTGGTAAGTCTTGGCCAAGATGTTTTGTGTCATACTTCTTAGAAACTTAAAAACTGAACTCTAATGATCAGGTAACACATTTCTTCTTCCTCCTCCTTTTCTTCTTCCTCTTCTTTCTTCTTTCCTCTTTTTCTTCTTCCTCTCCTCCTCCTCCCTCTTCTTGTTTTTCTTTTTGTAAGTTAGGTAGTTTTCAATTCTTTGCTTTCAGTAAAATTAAAGGAGGACCTAACAGAGTTGTCAACAAATAGGTCAATAGTTTTTGATAATAGATCACTATGTACTTTTTAACTTATAATCAAGAAGGCATTCAAATAACAGTGTGACATTTTCATCAGAAAATGCTCACATTCTCATTATTTAATTGAACACATTTTCTCAGAGCTTATGTTTAAAAAAATAAAAAATAAGGATAGAATTGATGCCAACTTCTGTCTCATTTTAATACTGAGGAAGAGCCACAGGTACATGAACTAATTTAAAGAGATCCATTGATTTAGTTTTATTTTTCAGTAACACTTAACTTACTGTGTTTTATAATTATGTATCAAAATATGCTATATATTTATGTTGCTTTGGTTAGTTGTGTACTAAAAATCATTGTAAAGATAATCCAGAAAACTTCAAAATTTTAAAAAGGAATGATACAGATTTTTTTGGTTGTCAAAAAAGAGCTTGTTGGTGAAGTTTTAAGACTGAGGGTGGGAGAGTAAGTGTCAAATTGCTTTGGTATTTAGAGTCTGTTGGATACAAAGTGTGATATATTTTATTTAAAAATCAATATTTACAGTATGCTAGAAAGTACATACTTTGAAGTTATTCAGATTTATGATGAAAAATCTTAGGTGTTTACTTGAAAATATGCAGAGTGATACATAGATTTTCAAAGTTCCTTTAGGAAGTATGAGAGAAATTAGTTCCAAAGATCACTTACTTAGCTGATCAAATCTTTATAGTTTTAACAGTTGATGGTGACAGACTTCATGGAGAAAAGTGGATAAAAAGAAAGGCATACGTGGGTGTGTTGTTAATATATGGCTCTTGTGACAGAAAAGTAGACCTGGTGAAAAAAAAAAACACATAATTCCCAAGTTTTTAATTTTTTTGGCCAGCACCTTTGAGACATAGCATATCTACTGTTTATGAACTTTGCAAAGTAGGTTTGGAAAGTTGGTTTTTTTGTTTTTGGATGGGCCTAATTATGTTGGAGACCAATAATCTACTGTTATAACTGATTACCACGTGCCTCACACTGTGCTAATTATTAGAGATACAGAGATGAACAAGGAGAGATCCCTCAAAGATTCGACAGGATAGAAGAAAAGGGAAGTCAAACTAGACTAAGTTGGAAGTTAATGATGATGCACTTTAAGTATTTTTCATTTGTATCCCATATTTGACTACACAAAAAGCTTGAGATTGGGTAAAAATCTCCCTCACCAATGCAGGCGGGCATCATCACACCTGTTGAGGAATGGAGCAGGATGGAACAAAATGGTGGAAGGAAGGCAAATTTGCTCTCTCTTTTCTTGAGCTGGGACATCTCTCTTTTCCTGCTCTCTGACAATGGTGCTCTTAGTTCTTGGGCCTTTGGACTTGGACTGAATTGTACCACCAGCTTTCCTAAGTCTCCAGCTTGCAGGCAGCAGATTGAGGGACTTCTCAGCCTCCATAATCGTGGGAGCCAATTACATGTTTTTCTATCTCTGTCTATACCTCCTGCTGATTCTGTTTCTCTGGAGAACCCTCACTAATACAAATGGTTTATGGTATGAGGTTCCCTGAATCCTTGGGGTTTGGATCTTGATGTTTAAAGTTAATGCTCTAAAATTTAAAAGAAAGAAAAAAAGAGAATCCCTTTTTTTTCTGTCAGAATACCACCTGAATGTGCCCAATTTCATCTGATTTAGGAAACTAAGCCCAAATAGGGTTGGGCCTAGTTATCTAGATGGGAGAAAGCCAGGCCCCTGTAGACCATAGTTTCTGCTGTTCATTTACCAAGCTTTCCTCTGTAGTTCATAATCCATAGCTTTTGTTCTGCCTGGATGGTCCTATCCTGATAACCCAGAAAGTGTCTGCTGAATGCTGAATGGTGGGTGAAAAAAAAGGGCAACAGGAATTAGAAAGCATGTGGTTTAATAATTTTTTTAAATTCCCAGCCTTAATTAGGAAATGATGTGTGTTTCTGGAATTTTCATCAAGAGCTCATGGTGTTTCCAGGAAGTTGGCTAACTATGCCTGATATAAAAAAGAAAACTGCAACCTACTCAATTACATTGTAACTTGCCAGGAATTAAGTAATGGTGTTCTTGGAATTGGAGAGTACAATGTGATCAGTGTTTATCTGACACTGTACTGAAGAGTCTGGGCTTAGCTTCCTGAGGAAAGATGGTAAAGTCTCTAGAATGGAGAGCAGCCCATCCAAGGGCCCAGCTTTTGGGGGCATAGAGTTGATGGACTTCATGGGAAAGGCAGGACCCTTCACTCTAACTGCTAGCTGTTTGATAGCAATTCTCAAACTTTAGTATAAATACAAGTCATTTAGGAAGATTGTTTAAAAATGTGGATTCCTAGAAACTCCATACGGATGATCTGATTCATAGGTCTGAGTTGGGGCCTAGGAATTTATATTTTTTACAGACTTCTTCTGCATCATGTTTTGAGACTATTAGACTTCTATTTGGAGAGCCTATGATAAATCTTTAATGATCATTGAAAATACCACCCTTAGATCCAGGCCAGAGGGGCTCCTGCCCTGGGGTCTGTGGTTTATAGGGTCCTGCTCTGACCCTCCCCTGGCCATGATGGTCCCCTGGGATGAGGAGTCTGGAGGGATCAAAGGGATACGCCAAATTTGAGAATGTGAGAAGACTTCTAGACTGTGATCTGGAGAGAGAGCGAGAGAGCGAGAGAGCGAGAGCGAGAGCGAGAGAGAGAGAGAGAGAGAGAGAGAGAGAGAGAGAGAGAGAGAGATTGATTTTGAAGAATTGGCTCCTGTAATTATAGAGACTGAGAAATCCCACAATCTGCTATGTGCAAGCTGGAGTCCAGGAAAGCCAATGGTGTAATTCAGTCCAAGTCAAAATGCCTGAGAACCGGGGAAGCCAATGGTGTGAATCTCAGTCGAGGGCCAGAGAAGATGTGATGAGATGTCTCTGTGCGAGCAGGCAGGCAGCAAGCAAGTAAGGGCGAATTCCTCCTTCCTTTGCCTTTTGTTCTCTTCAGGCCCTCAGTAGAGTAGATGGTGCCCACTTACACTGGGGCGGACACCAACTTTACCGATCCATGGATTCAAATGCCAATCTCCTCTGGAAACACCCTCACAGCCACACCCAGAAATCAAGTCTAATCCAAGCACCTGTGTCCAGTCAAGTTGCCGTGTACAATTTGCCATCACAGGCTCTGAGCTGGCTCCTGGCTGTGCATGGCTTCTTTCCTGGTCTGACCTCCTGAGGGCATACCCTGCTGGGCGTGTCCTTATGTCTGAGTAGTGGCCAAGGGGCAGCTGTTTGTGGGGGTGTGGATGGAGTTGACTTGTGAGCTGCAGCGTGCGCTAGTGGCCGCAGGAGGCCCGTCATTCATGGAGGGCTGGCTGTGGGAAAAGAAGGAGCATGGGCTACTGGCCAGGAGTTGGCACTCCCTGTGCCACCGCACTCCTACCTTGGGTTTCTGGGTTGTTTGAGGGTATATTTATCAGGTAAGAGAATAGGACCTTTTGTTCAGCAGTTTGTTGGTTTTGATTTGTAACTTCCAAATAACTAGACGTATGGTTTGGGGACCTTCGTCTGTTCTCTTGCTTTGGGCCCCACAGATGTTAGAGGCAGACCAGACCAACATTTCCAGACTAGTAACATCTTAGACTTGATTTCTTCTGAACAAGAATTGCCCTTCAAGCCAGGCCGCAGGAAGGGAAAAGTGGACAAAAGGTAAAGAAAATATGACCTCCAGGGTGGCAGGGCCCAGTGAGGGAAAGCCCGACCTTAGCGTGTCCTTTGCAAGCCCTGTCTGCATCTCAGGTGAAAAGTGAGAGAATGGGAGTGGGGCATAATTCTGTTTTTGCAGAACTGACAGATTTGAGCTATCTTGGGGGACCCAAAATCCAGGTTTTTCTAATTTCATTCTCTCCAGGACTCTAGCCTCTCCAGCATGAGTCAAGTTGTCCTAATTTTTCTTAGAATGAGATAATAGTCTGAAAAAGTGAACACTTTTCTGGCTACCTTTAACATATTTTCAGAAACAATTGCACATAAAAAAGACTTGTTCAATTATTTTATAAGGGGATTAACAAAGGAAACTTTAAAAAATATATTTCACACACACTGGAATGTGTAAAATGTAGTGACATGACAGTCACTACTTCAGGCCATATTCCACATACTTCAATAAAAATATTCCTTAAAACACCTAATTACTTTCCTCTCATTAGATCTGCTATGTACAGTTGTCTAAGTTGTTGACTGTGTGAGAATACTTATCCCAAGAAGTAAATGGGATCTAAAATCCAGTCTACCGTCTCCTTGTCAAGCTGAGTGCTCTGACATGGCCTACATTCACCAGGAGGAAGGATACTTTTTTCTAATCACAAAAGTGACAGTCTTCTTGTCAAATGATACACCTTGCTCATGATCGGGACATGTTTGCTGAGGTTACCCTCAAAATAACAGAGCTGAGGATACTAAAATAATGCCATATATTTTGGAATAGTGAAAACTTTCTAGGGAGATGGTCATCTGGGAATTCGATTACTTGCCCTCTTTCCACCCCTGACTGCAGTGAAGAGAAAGAATGCCTTTCTGGAAAAAAAATTACTGGCTAAAAACCAAACCAAAACTAAACAAAATGCCAAGAAACCCTACAACAACACAGCTGCTATGATTTCTGTGAGTCCCAGAGAAAAGAGGAGTTCACTGCTGCTTCAGCCTGTAAATGCCAGGTCCTGGGACAGAATTAACTAGAGTTAGAAAATAGAGTTAATAAGGTTGAGTGCAGCTGGAGATGGAACATTTACTGCTTTTGATGTACTAACTTGGAGTCAAGGAAGTAATTAGTGCAATATGGATCAGCATTGGTCATGGACTAGAGGAGGACATCCTCTACCCTTGCCCAATCCCAGACTCCCTCTCGGGTCCTGCTGGAAGTCACAGTTCATTATTTGCAAAACCCAATAGTGTCAGCCTTGGCTCCGACTCTTCCAGCACCATCTCATTCTGATGAAAACCTGGCTGTCCCCTGGGAATACTGCCTTCCGATTCTGCCGGTATTCCCCTTGTCCCATGGTGACTGTGGTTTGCTCCTCCAAGTTGTACCATGGGGCCTGGAGGCAGGGTGCGCTTGTTTTTCACTCCTCATTACCACTTCTGCATCATCCTTTCTCTCTTCCCTAAAAATGTCCTGCATTGAATCTCAGGTCATCAGGATATGTGACCTGACTTCTCATTTTGCTGACATCTGTTATCCTGAGGTCATTCCCCCTGGTTCCTTGGTGTTCCTGCCTCACCATTGCATTCCTCTTCCTGTCTTAACTCTGGGCAAGTTCAATGTATACATAGATTGTCCCTCCATTCTCCTGGTCTCTCAGTTCCCTGCTGACCTTCCCTCTCACAGTCTGGTCCTTCCCCTTTCATTCCCATCATTCTGGACCCTGTCATTTCCTGCAGCTGCATGGCCTCCACAGCTGCAAGGCATGCCTCTCACTCTAGGACCCCTGCTTCCTCTCTTCCTAGCATGCTCCCTCAGTCACCCTGTCTGCTAGGGCTGTCAAAGCAAAGTCCCACAAATTAGGTGGCTTAAAGAGTAGAAATGTATTCTCACACAGTTCTGGAGGCTGGAAGTCTGAGATCAAGGTGTTGATGGGGTTCGTACCATGTAGGGGGCTGCCCCAGGATGCTGTCTGGGACTCCGGTGACTTGCTGGCAATCCTTGGGTTGTGGATTCATCACTCCAATTTCTGTCTTTGTGTTCACATGTGTACCTGTCTGTATCCAAATTTCCTATTTTTATGAGGGCACCAATAATTCTGGCTTAGGGCTTCCTCACATCTTAACTAATTAGGATATATCAGCAATGACCCTATTTCCTAGTAAGGTAACATTTTGAGGTACGAGAGGTTAGGACTTCAACATTTAAATTTTTTTGGGGTAGGGAATACAATTTAACCCCTAACATGCTCCATCTTCAGCAATCCTTCCACTGTCATCTTAAATTCATGAACATAAAGCTTTAATGCTGCTTGGCAAACATACTCTCTGATATGGTTTGGCTGTGTCCCCACCCAAATCTCATCTTGAATTGTAGCTCCCATAATCCCCATGTGTTGTGGGAGGGACCTGGTGGTAGGTAATTGAATCATGGGGACAGGTTTTTCCTCTGCTGTTTTTGTGATAGTGAATAAGTCTCATGAGATCTGATGGTTTTTTATAAAGAGCAGTTCCCCTGAACACACTCTCTTGCCTTCTGCCATGTAAGATGTGCAGATGTTCCTCCTTTGCCTTCTGTCGTGATTGTGAGGCCTCCCCAGTCATGTGGAACTGTGAGTCCATTCAGCCTCTTTTTCTTTATAAATCGCCCAATCTCAGATATTTCTTCATAGCAGTATGAGAACGAACTAATACACTCCTCTTTGTCATCAGTTTTTCCTCTCTTGTACTCATCATTACTAACATCATATAAAGATGCTCTTATTTCTTTCATATTAATTATATTAAAAACTTTCTTGACCCCACGTGCACGCATAGCTCTCCCTCTGGCTCTACTATCTCTGCCACTCTTCACTGCACTATTCTGGGGCTGTCTATACTGACTGCCTTCAATTCTTCTCCTCCCATTCCCTTCAGTCCCTTCCAATCAAGCTTTTGCCCCCCGACTACTCTTTTGAAAGTTCTAATCTCAATGTTAACATAGTGTATGGTGTTAGCAAATTTCTTCTTTTTTATCATGGTTATCCTCTATGAAAAACTGAACTTACTCCCATTTATTGCATGTGTTAAATGATAAGGTTTGTCCACAGCTCAGGAAAATAACAACAAGAAGGTTAAATTATAAACACTATATAGATTGGCAGGAAAAATACAGAAGGAAACAATTGTTTGGAAGAAAGTAATCCCTTTATAGTATTGGCCACTCGATAGAGATTCGATTTCTAGCATTTATATTTACACATTTTAACGAATTACTTTGCCCACTTGGAGCACATGGATGTGTTCATATCAACCACTCTCTGTCCTTCCATGTTCTCCCTGTATGGCAGTCTTGATTTCTGGCAATTTGGAATCCCAAGCCCTGTCTGGGATTATTACCCAGCCCCTAGGTCAGCCCTCTCTAGGGATCCAGGGTGGAGGGGGGAGGGAGAGGAGGTGGTGGTGGTAAAGAGGGTGGGAGCAGGAGGATTTAGTGGAACAAAGGATGAGAGAAAATAAGAAAGAAGAAAAAGCAGCAGATCCAGGCAACACATGCTGTAGTCATAAAAATGGTTTTCTGTACTGTCTGTTGCAATTAAAATTTTAAAACATGCTTACCTTTTTTTTTTTTTTAAATGAGCAAACTCCTTCAAAGGAGGTGGATTGTATAGTTTCTGGCATGCTACAGGGAAGAAAAAGTCCATCTCAATACTTTATAGGCATGCTTTGAATTCAGAACTTTACAATTCTTCAGAAACAACTAATGAAAAAAGGAGCATGTTGGGATGACTGTGAGTCACGTCCCCACCCTATGATTCACTAAGTCACAAATGCTGGGCATGTGGTCAGGGGAGAAGGACTTTTGATTTTGAGGATTCATGAGCTGATTCAGTTCTGTCTTTATGTTTTGATACTATCTATTCGAGTCTGAGCTTTGAAGTGTTTTGGCTCCATAAAGCAGCATCAAGGTAAGGGATCAAAGGATGGAAAAAGCCAGGATGAGTGAGGGTTTGTTAGCTAAAAGCATCCAGTTCTTGCATAATGTCAGAAAGCAAGGTTAGACAGCTACTGACAGCATGGATGCTGAAGAAAGCAGAACTGTTTTCAAATCCGGATAACGCCAGTTGCTTGCTTTCCTATGAGTACTCTTAACTGAAATATTTACAGTGGCTCAAGAATGACAGCAAAATAAATATCCTTGAGCTCCCCACTGGTTTAAATCCCTCCAAAAAAAACCTTGTCACTGATATTTGTTAAAATTCATCCAAAGAAACATTGATGAATGCTATGTATTTAGAAAACATTGTATAAAATATACAAATAAATAAGCCATACAGTAATTGGTCTCTTAAATTATTATAAGGAGGTAAAATTTTCTATCATCTTAATTTCTACCTGTTAGAGGCGTTTGAACCAGAGCAATTCCATCTTGATTAGGGGGTGGGTAAAATAAGGCTGAGACCTACTGGGCTGCATTCCCAGGAGGTTAAGGCATTCTTAGAGACAGGATGAGATAGGAGGTTGGCACAAGATACCAGTCATGAAGACCTTGCCGATGAAACAGCATGTGTAAAGAAGCTGTCCAAAACCTACCAAAACCAAGATGGCAATGAAAGTGACCTCTGGTTGTCGCACTGCTCATTATACGCTAATTATATATACATTAGCATACTAAAGACACTCCCACCAGTGCCATACAGTTCACAAATACCATGGCAACATAAGGAAGTTACCCTATATGGTCTAAGAAGGCAGGGGGAAACCTCAGCTCCAGGAATTGCCCACCCTCTTCCTGGAAACTCATGAATAGTCAACCCCTTGTTTAGCATATAATCAAGAAGTAACAGTAAGAACAATCAGCCAAGCAACCCACACTGCTGTTCTGCCTATGGAGTAGACATTCTTGATTCCTTTACTTTCCTGACAAACTTTATTTCACTTTACTGTATGGACTTGCCCCAAATTCTTTCTTGCATGAGGTCCAAGAACCCTCTCTTGGAATCTAAATTGGGACCCCTTTCCAATAAAAACATTTAACTTTGCTACTAGGTCATGACATTCTGGAAGGTTTCTTTGGAACAATGTCCTAGTTGGAGCCCCCAGTTTGATAGTTGAGTATCCTTAATCAAAAACATCTGAAACCTGAAATGCTCCAAAATTTGGAATTCTTGAGTGCCAAAGAAAATGCTCATTGGAGCATTTCAGATTTTGGATTTTTAATTTAGGAATGTTCAACCAGTAAGTGTAATGCAAATAGTCCAAAACTGGAAAAAAATCAAAATTGGAAACACTTCTCATCCCACGCATTTCAGATAAGGGATACACACTTTGTAAAACTTGAATATTCTTGTTAGTAGAGTGTTTGATGTAATGAATGAGATGAATGTACCTTTTTTTGGTTTGTTTTTCTGTTTTCAGAAACTAAATGTTCAGAAATTATTAGCATACAATTACACAGATGTTAAATACTAATTGGATTGCAACACTGATTTTATTTTCATTTACCTACGACATTATTTCATATCATTACTCGCAAGAAGCCTACCTTTTTGCTTGGTAGTGAGTGCAAAGTAGCTGGAAGAAATGGAGATATCTGAGAAACTACCAGCTGGTAACCAGTATATACACTTGAGACACATCTATGTATTTTTCAGATTGGAACTGTGAGTGACTATAGGTGCCAAAACAGGAAATTTGGTGTTAAATCCCTCATAAGTATCTTGTGTGATAGCATATTTTAGGATTGCTGAATTCATGGGGAGAAAAAGCATACTGCTAAACCAAAATGCATGAGTACAGTTGAAAAGTTAAAAAGCTATATTCCTGTTTTTGAAATTTTACCCCAAATTTTGACAACAACAACAAAACTGCTTGGTTAAGTTTATTAGATTAAAAATATTGCTAAAATCAGGCTAAATATGCATGCAAAGTTCCTTCTGATACGATCTGGCCGAAAAACAGTAAAAATCAATAGATTATAAACTAAATCATGCCTTGAGCTGTGAAAGAGGAAAGGACCATCACAAGTAAACTGATAGGCACGAGGTCTCAATAGGCAATGACTTACATATGTTAAAATATGGAAGAAACATTATAGATAATTGGAGTTCAGGCCCTTCACAAACATTAGAAACCAAGAGATTGAGGTGCAAAGGGATTGCTTGACTTGCCCAAGGTCCCATGACTTGTTAGTGGCAGAGCCAGACTGGAATTTTACCCTGGATTTCAGGAAAGAACAACTTTATTATACTATGGCAGGCCAGCACCAAAATTCCAGGGCTGCTTTTGCAAGTATTAGGTTTAACCATGGTTCTTAATTACTAGCTGGTAGGGAATTTGCACAGAACCATTTAGATATAGATCAAAATCACATAATTAAATGTTTCACAAGTGGTGAATTATATATATACATATAATTACATATATGTGTACATATATATACATATATGTGTATACATATGAATGAGAGAATTAAATTTACTTAAAAATATATTTAATTATTTTAAAAAAAAGCCTTGAGATCATCTATTGAGATGATCAGTACTGGGAAAACAGTGATGTCATAAAAAGGTGACCAGATGTCTGCAGGAACTGACCTCCCATCTTGCCCTGCCATGCATTAGCTGTGGAATTGCTTCATTTTCCAGTCAGTAAAATAGGGATGTTGACAATTGCTCTACCTCCAAGGAACACTCTGAGGTTAAATAAAGTAGAATAAGTGGAGTGTTCTGAGGGTTTCATAGAATTAGGCATTAGACCACAACTTGTTTAACTTATGGTGCTGATGACGACAAGTTTTCTCATAGTTATGAGTCAGTGATTCTCAGGAATTCCTTTTCATACCACTTAACCTTTAAAATGTTTGCTTTATTTAACCTTAGATTTAAAAGACAGAGAAATCACTTAGAAATTTCTTCTCTCAATTTAAGTACCCCCTCTTAAAAATGCTGATAAAGAACTTATTCCTATACAAGGTGGTTTATTCCATGGCAGGAAAGGCACAACATAGAAAAATGTTCATGTTATTGAACAAAAATTTATCTCAGTGTAATTTTTTTGTCATTCATTTTTATTATTTTTATTTTTCCATAGGTTATTGGAGTACAGGTAGTGTGTGGTTGCATGAGTACGTTCTTTAGTGGTGATTTGTGAGATTTTGGTATGCCCATCAACCAAGCAGTATACACTGCACCCTATTTGTAGTCTTTTATCTCTCACCTCCCTCCCACCCTTTCTTCCAAGTCCCCAAAGTCCATTGTGTCATTCTTAGGCCTTCATTTTCCTATAGGTTAGCTCCTACATATCAATGAGAACATATGATGTTTGATTTTCCATTCCTGAGTTACTTAACTTAGAATAATAGTTTCCAATCTCACCTAGGTCACTGCGAATGTTGTTAATTCATTCCTTTTTAGGCTGAGTAGTATTCCATCATACATGTATGATGGAAGCCATCATACATATATGTGTTGTGTGTGTGTGTGTGTGTGTGTGTATGTATATATATATATATATATATATATATATATATATATATACACACATATCTCACGGTTCTTTATCTACTTGTTGACTGATTTGCATTTGGGTTGGTTCCATGATTTTGCAATTGTGAATTGTGCTGCTATAAACATGGCTGTGCAAAAGTATCTTTTTCGTATAATGACTTCTTTCCCTCTGGGTATACACCCAATAGTGGGATTGCTGGATCAAATGGCAGTTCCACTTTTAGTTCTTTGAGGAATCTCCACATTGTTTTGCACTGTGGTTGTACTAGTTTACATTCCCACCAGCAGTGTAGAAGTGTCCCCTGATCACCACATTCATGCTAACATCTACTGTTTTCTGATTTTTTTGATTATGGCCATTCTTGCAGGAGTAAGGTGGTATCATATTGTAGTTTTGATTTGCATTTCCCTGATCATTAGTGATGTTGAGCATTTTTTCATATGCTTGTTGACAATTTGCGTATCTTCTTTTGAGAATTGTCTATTCGTGTCCTTAGCCTACTTTGTGATGGGATTGTTTGTTTTTTTCCTGTTGATTTGTTTGAGTTTGTTGTAGATTCTAGATATTAGTCTTTTGTCAGATGTATACATTATGAAGATTTTCACCCACTCTGTGGTTGTCTATTTACTCTGCTCACTCTTCCTTTTTGCCATGCAAAAGCTCTTTAGTTAAATTAAGTCCCAGCTATTTATCTTCATTTTTATTGGATTTGCTTTTGGGTTCTTGGTCATGAAATCTTTGCCTAAGCCTATCTCAGTGTAAGTTAAAAATTAACTGTAGTCATAGTTTTTTTTGGTTTCAGATTATTGATTTTATCAATTCTTAAATTATGTGAATTCAACTATCAAGTTTCTCCTAAATTTTCAATGTTATAGAAAGAAGATAGCAGTATTAAGTGGCTACTGTGCAATATTAACACTTTTGTCTAGGTGTTTTCAATTAAAACTCAAAATAAGTTAAGGCCAAGTAGCCTCCATTTCTGCATTGATAAGACTAGCAAAGTGGCTAAAATCACAAGCTCTGGATTTAGACACACCTGGATGTAAGTCTTGGTTCTACTACCTACTAACTGTATAAACTGAAGAAGTTACTTAGCTCCTTAAGTCTTAGCTTCCTTGTTGGTGAATTTTAGAAGTAATAACTCTAATGATAAAGTGGTTATTGTGAGGTTAAAAAATATAATGCCTGTGCAAAATGATGAAACTCCATCTCTACAAAAAATATAAAAATTAGCCAAGCATGGTGATGTGCTTGTTGTCTCAGCTATCATGGGGCTGAGGTGGGAGGATCACTTGAGTCTGGGATGGGGAGGTTGCAGTGAGCCAAGATGGCATCATTGCACTCTAGCCTGGGCAACAGAGCAAGAAGCTATCTCAAAAAATATATATACATACATATATATATATGTATGTATCATGTGACTGCATATATACACATATATATGTATCATGTGACTACATAATGCATAATGACTATTCAATAAATGTAAGCTATTGGTATTATTAGTCTCTTTTCTTTTTTTTTTTTTTTTTAGTCTCAGCACAAGACCTTAGGTTTATCCCAAATAACTTGTGTTTTCTTTGTTTTGGGCCTGATTTCTATGTGAAGAAATAGTTTTGAATTGTCTCCTGGTGTGTTAGCTCTCTCTCCCAAAGTTTTTAATTCAAATATTTATAAACATACATTCTGTGGTTTTCATGTTTTTGACAAAAATATTGAACAGAAATAAGCAAATCATAAATTCTTGGAGTTGCCTTTTAAGATTGAAGTCAAGTCTTTGGCCAATATTCTTTGGGTGACATTGATTGCCTAACTATGAAGCAAACCACCAGTCATCTTGCTCTTACCTGGCCCTCATTCCTCCATCTTAACAACAAAAGATGTGCATCATGATATTTGGCTATGCCATGCTAAAACAAAGCCATACCCTGTACGTGCCTTCTTCCTGACACAGAGGCAACCAAATCTAAGAAAAGATGTGACTGGTTGGCATGACTTGTTCTTAGTGAATTCACACTCGTTGCCAGTGCTTAGTATTTGCTTACTGTATCTTGCTTACAAATCATCCGTTTTAGAATTTTGTTTGGCATCTGTGTAAGGCTCATCAGTTTACATACAAATCTCATTCTTCCACTATTTTTAGAAGTA